TCAAATACGACTTTACACTAGAGGAGGGAGGCGTGGAGTCGAGCGAAGAGTCCAATCAACAAGAAGTGGCCAATCAATTGGCGAAATCGAGTTTAATGGCTTCCGCCAGAATTGCCGAAGACTTGTCCTCTAAATCAGATTCTCTTGACTCACAATTATATCCATTGATACGCCGGTCAACGCTTTGTCTGTTAACACCATATTTGGTCCGACAGTTGGGTCTCACGAGTACTGCAGATGTATTAAAAACATTAAACAGTAATATCGAGAATCCATATCTCATTTGGGATAACTCTACGAGAGCTGAACTGACGGACTATTTGGAGACTCAGGAAAGAGAGACAATGAGAAGCGGCGAATGTCCCGACACTTCATACGGCTCTACATTTGAGTTCTCGAGTCATAAGGAAGAGCTAATTGTTGGCGAAATATTTGTCCGCATTTATAACGAACAGCCAATGTTTCCATTAGAAAACGCCAAAGGATTTACCATTGATTTGATTGACTACTTGGGCTCTCAGGCACAATACCTTCAGTCGGCGCTCAATCTGGTCTCGAACTCCACCGGAAGCGTAAACAGCGATCGCATGAAAAACATTAAGATGTGTTTATTAGCGCTGAATAACGTAATCGTTCACAATAATGGCGTTGAGATGCAATGCATCGGACACTTCAAATTGCTTTTTAGTTTATTACGTTTGGATCAGATGTCAGACTTGCAGACACTGGCCGTCAATGTAATCGCTAGCGTTTCGGGCAATCAAGAGTGCGTTCAGGACATCGCCTCCAGCGAAGTGTTGGTCTATTTATTAATGGTTTTGCGGCCGACTTCACAACAAACCGATGATTTCAATAAACAATTGGCAGTTTTGACAGCACTTACGCCTCTTATGTTTAACACCCGACTAATCAAAGAGGCGTTAAGTAAGGGAGCGATCCTTTATCTGTTGACTCTATACACGAGTTCCGCTAATTTTGAAGTGCGAGAAAAGTCGGCCGAATTGTTGTCCAAAATGACGAGCGATAAGTTGAATGGACCGCGAATTAAGTTAGTTTTGTCCAAATTCTTGCCCTTACTATTCATCGACGCCATGAAAGACTCGCCACAAACCGCTGCAAATTTGTTTGACGGAACCCAAGAGAATCCGGAACTCATATGGAATGATTCGGCGCGCGATTCTGTTTGCCAAACGCTGACCAAAATGTGTGAACAACTATATAACGAACAGATCGGTAATCCATCCGCTGTATGGAAGATACCCAACGACTTTGAGCTTAAATTGCCGGTTGGTTTCGGCGAATTCGTGATCGCAGGCGTATATCTGCGGCTATACGTCCAGAACCCGAGTTGGGTCGTCAGGAAACCCAAAGAGTTTTTGACGGAACTGTTGGACAGCGCGAAGATACTCATGGAAAAGGAAGAACAAACCCAGGTTTGCATTGCATTTACTTTTCACAATGATTTTCGTGATTTACATCCAGTGCTAAGCATACCATTCACTGTCATTCTATAGGTCGAGAAGTTGGATCTGGTAACGCATGCCATTACGTGTCTATTACAGGCACAGACATCTCTGTTAGACTCGGTTCCAGCCATGGGTCACATCCAGGCATTTGTCAATAGCCTGTCCAACAAACGTCACGAAGCGATTCCTCGCAGTTGTCTTCAAATTCTTCGACAGTTCGCCGAAAACCGAACGTGTATTGAAACGATGATTGGCTGCAAATACCTATTGACTCAAGTATTCTTCGTTATCAAGACTTACGAAACGCTAACAGACATTGCGTGCGAGTTATTGAGTAAACTCTTTCAAATCGATACCATCGATGAATTGGTCGGTCAGGCGATTAAGACTGAACTAATTCATCATCTGTTGAAACTGTTGGACTCAAATCAAATTCAATACACGACTTCAACCAAAGCACAAGTCGTCCAAATACTGAAGCATATGCTTAAGAGCGGTGCTTATGGACAGCAAGTGAGCGAACTTTTAGACAAATCAATGGTTTGGTCCGAATATAGGGACCAAAAACACGACTTATTCATTACGAGCTCTCAGTTCTCTGGATATCTAACCGGTAATCATATCTTTGCTTCAAATAAAGCTTTTATTAAATCTAATGACATGTTTCTAACCATTGGTTGTATTACAAATTGATAGGTCCGACAGTACAAACGGCCGGTTACCTGACACAGGGCTCATCAGTGAACTCAATGCCATCCTCTCCGCCACCCCTTTAAATGAATTTCACAACTATTTGTAATAATTTTTATCTCTCTCTCTTATATTGCATCACATGAATGAATGGCCAGAATCTGTACCCAAAAGAGTATAGCATTGAATTGATGCGTAAAATTGAGTGCAATTTGTTAGCAAATTAATTGCATCCAAACTATTGTTTAATTGCATTCATTCAATAAAAGGACATTCTTTTCGGAGAGAGAGAGATAGAGAGAGAGAGAGAGAGAGAGAGAGAGAGTAACGATAAATAATTATGAGATTCCTGACGACTCTATTGATTTTTTTTGTGTTTAGAAATAAAAACTATTTTCCCATTTTTATTATGTATAATATTTGACATTTTTTGGGCACAAAAAATATTTTTATTATTTTTTTTATTACATAACGAATTGCGAGTAAAAAAGCGCTCACGATATCATGAAATAGTTATAAACTATTTTTGTAGACATACATATGTATATTAAGCAATGTTCCGCATAATAATTAACGAGTCGTTTAGTTAATTAATGTTGCAGTATATTAGAAAACAAAATTGACTCAATTGTCAATTAAGAGTATATTTGTAGTGTACAGCATTTTTGTGGTAATGAAACTTTACAAATTTTACTAAAACTTACTTTTAACTTTACTTATAATTAAAATCACTTGAAAAAAAATTAATCAGTTAATATTGTTCAATGCTAACAATTTGAAAATAATTTATCATATTGCACAATTAATGTAATAAAATGCATAAATAACTTACTTGTGTTAAAACTTTACCATTTATAATGTTGTAATAATTGAGTTAAAAATGTTTGCTCCAGACAAGAAAGTCTTAATAAAATATTTGACCATAATGCAATGCAATGCAATTACTGTATCTCAATATTGAACTCCCAATTGGATAACATGCTAATGGGTTTCTGGTCGATAAGCTCTTCTGAATGCACAATATATAACTACAAATGAATTCAATTATTTTGTAATTTAATCATTATTTCACAGTTAATACTAATGTGTAAATCAATCATTTTTTACACTAATGTTCACAACTTTAGTATTTAAATAATAGTCTAATAAGTTACTCGTTGTATAAAGTAACTCATTGTAATGGAGAACATTAACAACTTTTGTACATTATTTGCAAAACTAATTTATTTATTCAATGCTTTTAATCAACGCTTTGAATTACATGTTGTCAAATAAATGATTGAATTTTAAAATATTAATTATTTATATTTTAAAATTTGAAAAATTAATAATAATTTGTCACAAATCTATTAATACAATATTTAGGAATTTCCAATGCATCAAATATATATTGAGAATGTGCTGGATATACACGTATACTGACCAGACTGTGACACTTTATTAAGTACTTTGTATTTGTAAAAACTTATTAATCTTCAATTTGTAGAAAGGCACCTTGGTATATTACAACATTAAATGCTCGAAAGTTTAAACAAAGCAATATTTTAAATGATAAGCAATACATATAAGTTCTAGATTTAAGCATGGTCGTATTACAGAATCTACTTGAAACTACAATATTTATATACTCTTTCGTCAACAATGGATGTAAATCTATTGAACAGAATATTCTTTACCATAATTTGACAGATAATGAGTGGGAAAAAGAATTAAATACTGAATAGTTTTAAAAATATTGTCAAAAAATTTTATTTATTAAAGGTTCAAATTATTTAATTTCTTATAAAATAAAAATAACTTAAATAAATTTTTGTATTTTAGTTAAATAAACTATTGTTTATATATTAAATATATATTTATATAATTTTGGAGAGAATTATAGTTAATTATAGTTATTACACATTCGTTCCGTTTTTTGGCCACAATTGACCGTAAAATACAGTGTTTTGTTTCAGAGAATTATAAAAATTATTACAAATAGTTGTGAAATTCATTTAAAGGGGTGGCGGAGAGGATGGCATTGAGTTCACTGATGAGCCCTGTGTCAGGTAACCGGCCGTTTGTACTGTCGGACCTATCAATTTGTAATGCAACCAATGGTTAGAAACATGTCATTAGATTTAATAAAAGCTTTATTTGAAGCAAAGATATGATTACCGGTTAGATATCCAGAGAATTGAGAGCTCGTAATGAATAAGTCGTGCTTTTGGTCCCTATATTCGGACCAAACCATTGATTTGTCTAAAAGTTCGCTCACTTGCTGTCCATAAGCACCGCTCTTAAGCATATGCTTCAGTATTTGAACGACTTGTGCTTTGGTTGAAGTCGTGTATTGAATTTGATTTGAGTCCAACAGTTTCAACAGATGATGGATTAGTTCAGTCTTAATCGCCTGACCGACCAATTCATCGATGGTATCGATTTGAAAGAGTTTACTCAATAACTCGCACGCAATGTCTGTCAGCGATTCGTAAGTCTTGATAACGAAGAATACTTGAGTCAATAGGTATTTACAGCCAATCATCGTTTCAATACACGTCCGGTTTTCGGCGAACTGTCGAAGAATTTGGAGACAACTTCGAGGAATCGCTTCGTGGCGTTTGTTGGACAGGCTATTGACAAATGCCTGGATGTGACCCATGGCTGGAACCGAGTCTAACAGAGCTGACTGTGCCTGTAATAGACACGTAATGGCATGCGTTACCAGATCTAACTTCTCGACCTATAGAATGAGAGTGAATGATATGCTTAGCACTGGATGTAAATCACGAAAATCATTGTCAAAAGTAAATGCAATGCAAACCTGGGTTTGTTCTTCCTTTTCCATGAGTATCTTCGCGCTGTCCAACAGTTCCGTCAGAAACTCTTTGGGTTTCCTGACGACCCAACTCGGGTTCTGGACGTATAGCCGCAGATATACGCCTGCGATCACATATTCGCCGAAACCAACGGGCAATTTAAGCTCAAAGTCGTTGGGTATCTTCCATACAGCGGATGGGTTACCGATCTGTTCGTTATACAGTTGTTCACACATTTTGGTCAGCGTTTGGCAAACAGAATCGCGCGCCGAATCATTCCATATGAGTTCCGGATTCTCTTGGGTTCCGTCAAACAAATTGGCAGCGGTTTGTGGCGAGTCTTTCATGGCGTCGATGAATAGTAAGGGCAAGAATTTGGACAAAACTAACTTAATTCGCGGTCCATTCAACTTATCGCTCGTCATTTTGGACAACAGTTCGGCCGACTTTTCTCGCACTTCAAAATTAGCGGAACTCGTGTATAGCGTCAACAGATAAAGGATCGCTCCCTTACTTAACGCCTCTTTGATTAGTCGAGTGTTAAACATAAGAGGCGTAAGTGCTGTCAAAACTGCCAATTGTTTATTGAAATCATCGGTTTGTTGTGAAGTCGGCCGCAAAACCATTAATAAATAGACCAATACTTCGCTGGAGGCGATGTCCTGAACGCACTCTTGATTACCTGAAACACTAGCGATTACATTGACGGCCAGTGTCTGCAAGTCTGACATTTGATCCAAACGTAATAAACTAAAGAGCAGTTTGAAGTGTCCGATGCATTGCATCTCAACGCCATTGTTGTGAACGATTACGTTATTGAGCGCTAATAAACACATCTTAATGTTTTTCATGCGATCGCTGTTTACGCTTCCGGTGGAGTTCGAGACCAGATTGAGCGCCGACTGAAGGTATTGGGCCTGAGAGCCCAAGTAGTCAATCAAATCAATGGTGAATCCTTTGGCGTTTTCTAATGGAAACATTGGCTGTTCGTTATAAATGCGGACAAATATTTCGCCGACAATTAGCTCTTCCTTATGGCTCGAGAACTCAAATGTAGAGCCGTATGAAGTGTCGGGACATTCGCCGCTTCTCATTGTCTCTCTTTCCTGAGTCTCCAAATAGTCCGTCAGTTCAGCTCTCGTAGAGTTATCCCAAATGAGGTATGGATTCTCGATATTACTGTTTAATGTTTTTAATACATCTGTAGTACTCGTAAGACCCAACTGTCGGACCAAATACGGTGTTAACAGACAGAGCGTTGAGCGGCGTATCAATGGATATAATTGTGAGTCAAGAGAATCGGATTTAGAAGACAAGTCTTCGGCAATTCTGGCGGAAGCCATTAAACTCGATTTCGCCAATTGATTGGCCACTTCTTGTTGATTGGACTCTTCGCTCGACTCCACGCCTCCCTCTTCTAATGTAAAGTCGTATTTGAATAGAAATAATAGTAAACTGAAGAGAGCACCAGATTTGAAGAGTTGGAGCTGAAGGTTAGGGTCGGCTGAGAAGGCGGCCACACAGTCGACGGCCACTAAACACACTTTTGTCAGGTTTTTGTAATAAAGAATACGACAGATATCTCTGGCCACTGACGGCATTTCGGACAGGCGTTGGCGACACGTGGGGAACGACGCGCTCACAGTAAAGCACCGGACGATATGTACGCAAACCTCCACCGAAACGTCGGTCAACTTCGAGGACGCGGACAATACGGACACACATCGAGTGAAACCGTCGCGCAGTATCTCAAGTCCGCCGTCGCGACGAAGCTCTTCGGCGTTGAGTGCGGAACAGTTGACGGTATAAAAGGCGGTTTCGCAGGCGTACGGCAACAGCGGATAGGGCTTCGAGAAGAGCTGCTCGTCGTATGTCTCCAATTTCAATGTCTTGATTAGCATCGGATAACCGGAGTATTTATACGGATGTAATGGTTCTGAATAACGGCTGAAGAGAATACTTTGGGCTTTCAGTATGAGTGTTATGTTTTGAGGGTCGGGTCCGTTGCACTTATTGCGGGCGCTTTTGCTGCACAAAAACTCATAGGCTTTGTTCACTTCTTCGAACCGATCCCTACCGTCGGGATTCTTGTCCGGATGGAACTGTTGGGCGAGTTTGAAGTATGCCTTTCGTATGGCATTCTCGCCGTTATCGCCGCCGACCTGTCCGTCATTGAAATTGCGGCCCAAACCCAACACTTCGTACGCGTCTTCGATGGACATAGAGTTGGGCTTCTTCTCGATCTCCACTTTCCAGAGGTCGAGCACATCGCGCAAGAGCTGCACCGGGTCTTTGATGGTCCACTCGGGGAACCGATTGATATCACATAAGTTTTTCAAATAATATATATTACAGAAGAGCTCGTACTCGAGCTGTGGGTATTGAATGGGAGGTATCGGTAAGTATTGATATAAGGCTCTGGTGTTGGACCGGAGACGGGGACTAAAGTCGGCGATATGTGCGGCGATCTTCTCGATCATGAGTCGTCTCATTTCTGTACTCCAAATGGCTTCTGGAGTATCGAATTCACCCAAAAATATTTGCGCAAACTTTTCGGGTCCGTAATTCTCCAGATAACAGATCATGGCTTCGGGCAACAGCTGACCCAAAACGCTTCGCTGAAGTATCGACGCGTTTGCGGCCGCGTCTTCAGCTTTGAACGCCTGTACGCTGTGACTGATGTGAAGGAGTCGACCGATTGGCAACAAATTAGATCCCGTGTACATCAGAATGAAGTAAAACAGACCCGTTTGGTAAAGACGCGGCAACAGTGGATTGTCTTGCATTACAAGTGATAAGAGTGTGGCCACTCTCTCGACAATCGTCGGGTCAAATGTTAGCAACAGTTGGACAATATGTGGCAAAACTGTTGATTCGGACAAAATTCGTTTCACTTTAGGCAGAGGTCTGACGATAGCGTTGTCTGAATCACGACTCGGATATAATTCGCAAATTTTGATCAAAATGTTTAATATAAGTACTGAAAGTTCGCTTTCGTTTAAAAGCGGATTATTGGCCGCAATTAGTGTCCATTTGAGTTGCGGAATGTGTATCAATGGTTTCCAGCCCTCGAGTCCCTGCGCCCAACACTTTGTCTTCGGACTAATCACTGTGTTCTTAGCCCAGAGTTCTTTGAGTTCAATGAAACTGAAGGGACCTTTCTTTTCCCGCTCCGCGTCTCCGATATACCACTCCTTCTCCGAAGAGCCCATTGCCATGATTTCAGGCGACGCTTCGATGACATTGGTTTGTGTGGGAACTGTGGCTCTGTTGAGATGGAGATGTGCTAATGTGAGCAAATCAATCAATACGCGAACGCCTCCAGAATCGATGAACTCTTTGGCGTTTCGCTGATTGACAATGAGTTTTGAGATGAAGATCAAGAGTCGATCCCTTTCTGTTTTATCAGAAGTTCTCTCTAACATCGAAACAATAAATTTCGTGTCATTAAAGGCACCGATTTCTTCACTATAAGCACAATAAACAATAGACATCGCCTGAAGACAACACCCCTTCATCGCCGACTTTGTGGTCAACAAGAATCGGTGGTAGAGGTCGCTGAAGAATTCAGTGGGATTCTTAATAAAGAGTCTGTCCGTTAGATTAGACTCACCGCTGGCACTATCTTCCTCTAGAAGTAATCTCAGATAATAGAAACCAATTTTAATCTCTTCGTTGAGAGACTGGTATTGGACTTCAAACTCGTTATGATTCCAAGAGATGGACTGATTTCCGCACAACTCTTTGTCGGACATAAATATTCGCATTTCATTTTCCAGCGAATCGCGCAACTCTTCCCGTGTCTTATAATTCCAGATGAGATCAGGTTTGGAGTGATCTTTGAGGAACTGATAGTACAATAGATTCCAATTGGCGGTCGGCTTCACCCGTTCCCGTCGTTTCCTCAAAACAACTGGTCGTATGAGTGCTTTCGGGTCCTCTTTCTTAGAAATTCCTATTCTTTGTCTCCAGTGTTGAAAAACATTCTCCAAATGTCTTTCGATTACGCGAACCGACGAATGAATATCTCTAATGGCGTCCAAACGGCTCGTGTTTTTGAGCGAATGATTTTGTGCTAACTTTAGATTATCTCTAACTAAAAGGCTATTAATGGCATCTTTGGGTGGCTTTTCGGTTGAGTCCAAGTAATTCAAAAGTCCGATTGGAATCACTCGCCGAAGCAGTGCCGACGCCACCTCATTGTCTGTCGTCCAAAGGCTCACCAAATGACGGGACAACTGTTGGACGGGAAGGAAACGGCCGTCGGCTGAGAACGAGTAGAGAGCGATGTGAACGTGTCGGAGGAGCGCTCCCTCTGCGAGAGCCAACTCTTGCATTTTGGCCGATATCTCAGGCGATCCCTCTTCGATGAGAGCCTTCATCACGAGTCCCGCGCCTTTCACTATCGCCAGCGACGGGTGTTGGAAGAGTCGGAATATGGGTCGTCCGTAAGCGGCAACCATTTCCAACAGTGTGTCAAAGTGTCCGCCATCTGTGGTCTCGCTATACGGCGCGCACAACGAAAACGTCAAGAAGTCGAGCATCGATGAGACGACGAGAGCGCCGGTGCCTCTATCCACGTGAAGCTTCATTACGTCCAGAAGGCTCTCCAGAAAGCTCTTCGACGACAGGAGAGAACTCTTGTTTAGCTGTTCCTGACGTAAATCGTAGTCGTCGTGCATCGGCTGTCAATCAAAACCATTTTCGTTTCAAATTCATTCATATATCAGAATATTCTTTAAAAATTAAACTAAAAAACATTTTCAAGATTTTAAAAAATCCGCAAAAAAAGAATTCTTGTGGAAATACAAACTCATCGTTTCATTGGATACATTGTCTGTCAATATATCCTCTATTATGTCATTAATAAATCCTAAGTCTTAAGGGAAGAGAGAAGAGGGAAAGCATTTGTTCATAAGCTAAACAATCGGCACATTAAGTCATATAACAGTAATAATAAACACAATATTTTTTATAAACAAATGCAAAGTTCAGGTTTCGCTAAAGTAAATAATATCTCAATGAATGGCATCTCAACAGCAGTCAAACGCCCCTTAAATTTATTGACAGAATTGATAAAAACTATAACTAAATCCATTTGAATCCATTAAAACACAACACATTTAATAGCATTCTATGAAAAGATAATAATAAAATTAGCAAATAATGGTCGCAAACCTGCATCAGAGCGCACAGCATATCAATAGCTGAATGAATCACATTATCGTTATTTTGCTTCAGACTTCGGACCACTTTTAGTCCCAAACACTCTCTGAATCTCGGATTTGCCGTAAACGACGAAAAGCCAGCTTTTGAGGCAACCAATCGTCGAAGTGTCTGAAACTGTTGCTCTAAGTGTTGATCACTGGTCTCGTTATGTTCGCCATCTCTGTCGGCAAAAGCGGCCAAAGCGTTAAAAATCATTTTCTCCTTATTCTCGGCAAAGAGTCCGTCTTGAGTGACACTATGTGTGAGTCCACTATAGGAACAGTTGGCGTTGAATCGGATGATCGCCTCATTGAATGTCCAATGACTGGGAGGCGTTTGGAGAAACTTCAAGTGCTGGCTCTCCACCTCTTCGTCCACTCGTGCGTAATATGGAGTCAATCGATGGGCTCTTTGGCTGTGATTCATCTTCACGTGAACGTCGATATTACCGGACGCGCGGACGCCGTCCATAATGGAGGCCAGAAACGCATCCCTATCTGTCGAGCTATAGCTACGAATGTCTCCATTAATGTATTCAATGGAAAACATTTGCGGATTTGCCGTCTCTCTGATCAAAGCAAAGACATCACTCAACGGTCTTAACGTTACGATAAGATAAGAATTGGGATCCCTTTCCACTAAACATGTGTCCGTCAAACACAGAATGCGTTTGATTGGCTCCGACTGGTGTCGGGCACTAATCTTATGGACGTTGAACTCAAACAACGATGTGATGGAGTCGTCGTCACTGTATCGGCCAAAGCGTTGGCTTTGAATTTGGTCTAAACTAATGGACTCCTTCTTCACCCGAAGCACAACTCCCACACAATTCCAGGCGATGTCGCAGATCCTCCGCAACAGTTCGTCCCTTTGGTCGCAATCAAACACATGAAGACGTTTTGAAGTGCCGTAAGAGATGCAAAACCCGCCCGAATAGTCGGACACTGTTATCAAGTTTTCGATATCTTTGTAGAAATAACTGGCGATCACTCGTTGACTGATTGTATCGATTTGATGGACACAATAGAGGCCCACCTCCAGAGTGACGCCGAGCTTACGGTCAGACCAGTGGTGTTTATGACAATTAAATTTGGTCGACTCGCTTGTCATGGATCCGATGGTCGGATAGTTTGGATCGACAAACTTGTGCCGAAACTGAAGAGCTGTTGATATGATATCACTTCGGTATTCGGAGGAGAACTTCATTGACTCTGTTTTGCGTCTGCGAAACGTTAGGTTAAAGAGTTCATTGCCTCCAGTGGTCAAAGTGGGTCCGGTGCCCGACGGAGACAACTGGCTCTTCGGTATGATTGGCCACACGTTCACCACTTCGGTGTACGGCCACGAGTTGGTGCACTCCATCGATGACAGGTTATGCGTCGATATGCCAACTGTTCCGATGGTTAGCACTCTTTTATACCTTAAGAGGAATAGAAAGAAACGATTGTCACAAACATTGGCCACTGGTGTCACCTCTTGGGACCAGTGATGGCATACTTTCCCTTCCAGGAGTGTTTGGTGACCAGAAAGCTGGCGATCTCTTTGTTGTCCTTCAGTGTCATCTTGTCGTTGGATGAGATCATCGCTATATCACTGGCGATGGTATGTATGGTACGAATGGATGCCAACAGTGATCACCAGATAATGAGTGAAAACACATCAAACAAATCAATGTTTGCATAAATCATACAAAAGTGCAAAAGTGTTGCAAACGTTTGTGAGTTAGCAGCAAAACAAACAGAGTGTTTTGCGGGGTTTTTCAGTAAAAGTTATGATTTTGTGTTGTGTTTGAGTGTGAGATAAGTGTTGTGAGAATAGTTAGATAAATCGCGAGTGAAATTTCAGAAACACATTTTGCAATTTAATCTCAAACACCAATGGATTACCAATGGTTTATAGCCTATTAATGTCTAATAATAAGCCATTAATCAGATAATAGTAATGACAAAACGGATTAAAACAGAAATGATTTATTCATTGTTAAAAAATTATTCATTTAAAATCTAAAAAACATTTTTCATTTCTAATAATGAAACTAAAACTTCATTTACAACTCAATTATTACAACATTTAAGTGAGAAAATTATTTTAATGTATGGATGGATGAGATGTCATGTCATGTCGAGTCTCGGATGCATTTTATGGCTGAAAGTGTGGACTCATTCTTACAATAATATCATAATTTATATAAAAATTTAATGTCTCTTTTGTTTTATGATATTTACATGTATTTCGAAAAATATTTAACTTTAATTTACAATTAAATTGAAAATGTTTTCAATCGGTCGCAGTGTTAGACACAACATCTTTGGGCGAAACGACCGCTTTATGGCTGTCGGCAGTCGTGTTCTCTGTCTTATAGAATGGGCCGAATCGGGCCATATATTTCTTCACGTATTCCTTTGTCTTAGTCTTTACTGATTCATTACAAGACAACTGTTCCAATGATTTGCATTGTTTGATCTCTTTTCCCATTATAGTATGCGTTAACTAAACATAAAAACAATTCAATTAATACTAAATATTCATTTTAAACATTAATCTTAAACATTACTTTTCGGGCCAAATATTTGAAGTCAGTGTTGTTTAAAATCCTTCCTTTCTTGCATTCGGGCCGTCGGTAAGGATTAAGACAATGGACCACATATTCAGACATTTTTGTCCGGAAATACTCTTGTATTTGACGCGTCGAGTGAAACGACT